TGAAAATAAATAGTCATGTTTAAAAATCCAAAAATGAATTTAGCATTGCCATGGAATATTAATATATATGTAAGAAAAATATAACAACTATGTACACCTAATTATCCTCGGAATAGTAGTACTATTGTGTTGCTCAATACAACATGGTGAGATCCTCCTATCATTGCGTGACACGTGACCATGCAGGCACTGTCACAGTGGCTGAGAAATAAACACACAGCAACAAAGTCTGGCCATTTTTGGTACAAGAAAAAAACGCTTGATTTGTTCTCTTGGGGGCCAGCCAATGGCATAGGCAACAGTAGCACGTACGTCTGCTGCGCTGGGCCTGCGGTGTGTGTATTGGGAGTGAGGAAAGCTGGTGACCTGGTCAGAATGGTTAAGGACCTGGGAGGAGTCGGTAAAAGCTTGCGTTGTGTTGCTGCCCCTGTTTGCCCGTTGGGTAAAACGAGCGAACCTGTTGTGTTCCTGCTCAATCAATCATGTGAAATCCTGTGCCCAAGCACACCTGTCACTGTGAGGAACATATGAACTGTATTTTGACCAGGCCTGACTGTCCCTTTTGAATGCGATGTGAAATCTATTTGGCTTAATGATCTTGACTTGGGAAGTAGGGTTAAGTTAACAGTACGCTTGGTATGGCTGTCAATCTTGCTGTATGCAGAAACTGGCTTTTTCGTTGTTGATTTGCATAAAAAAGAGTTCAGAAATGTGGTGATAAGACATGAGCTAGCAGTCAAATCTCCAGTGCCATGAGCCAAAAGATCTCTGAAAATATCTTATGGCAACTTTATGGAACTGCGCCTATCTAGTCTGTTTTAAAGCTACCAAAATGGTTTTCCCTCGTTTTTCTATTTCTGCTGGTTTACTAAAACTAGAATTGTGCTTTCGTGTTAACTACTAGCCATGTGGTGGAATTGTAAGCTGGTTCTTTACATATGGTAGGCATTTGCTTGTAACGCAAGGACCATATGATATGGAAAACATTCTTATTAATTAGTCAAGCAAAGTGCTGAGAAGCTGACTGAAGTAGGGCCGTTATTTTCTGAATATTTCACCATAACTTAATTAACTATTTTGGTTTTTATTACCATAAATTTTTGGGTCATGTCATTTCGAGAAAATGGGCAGGGCGAATATGTTCAAGAAGCTTAATTAGTTATGCACATTTCATTTTCTCCTCAAATTTCCGAAAGTTTAGCGACTATACGTGTACGCATCAGATTTACTGTTTTGGTCCTGATTTCTTCTCTATGTAGAAGCACTAATAAAATGTGTACAAAAAATTAGTACGTGACCTTTTCCTTCTGTAAGTCAAAACAATTTGTATTAATTGACATACACGTGATACACGAAAGTTAAATACCTCTAGAGGTTGGGGGAGTATCCTCCTCCTAAAAAAAAGTGAGGAAGAGAAAACATGGTTTTCATATTTGATTGGGAAGCATTAAAGAGTGTCGCCAAATTAAGTCATTCGTACTGAAATGTGTCATAAAACCAGAAATAAACTATTTTCTATGCGTGCCAAATTGTTACATCCTAGGATTGCTCTTAATAAAGTAGAGCTTCTTGTTTGATGTATGTTTAGGATTATATGTAAGTACAGAATTTTTGTTACCATTATACCTTTTTTTTTCTTTCTGGTCCGAAGCGGGAAGGAGAGGGCTAACGTTTCTTTAGTTAACTCTCTTCAAGGGGACCTTCGGGAACAATTCACATGAATATAATTTGAGTTACATATAATTAAGAATCAAATTGTGACATTTACAATGTTCAAATTAATTATATTCATAGACAGGAAAGAAGAACTTGTAAATGTCTAATTACTCACTGATGATTTCAATATAATTAACAGATAGCTAAATATATAGGTTTACCATGCTGGGACATCATGTCACACATCATACAATAGGATGTGGATATGCCCAACCCACCCATCTAAAACATACGGAGTACTTTCTTAAATGTGCTGTACCGGAAAGCATGCATACAATGTATAGATGCATGACAGAACACACATCACCTCTGAAGCTTAACTTAGTATGGGCGATGACAGGCAAAATCTCATTGGAAAGGGAAACTACTATTACAGCTAGACAGGGGTAGCTCTTACAGCATGGATAGTTCATAGGACGGAGAGACTTGTGATAGTACAAGCTTCGGACCAATGTGCCACAGTATGATCTGTAGAGCAGAATAAAATTCTACTGTAGCACATCCTGCGTATTGTTGTTGTGCCCTGTTCATTTCGAACAATCTTGGGAAATTTGTTTGACTAGATAGCTAGTACTTCAGGAAGAGGTTTTTCGTTCATATTATTATTCAGGCCAACTTTTAGTCTTTACACCCATGACATTCATTAGTTGTAAATTGCATACATTATCAGCAGAATTGTTCTTTTCGCCGCCTCATGTTACTTGTTTTGGTGATGGTTGTATAACTGTAGATTATTAGTATGGCAGTACTGATATAAGGAAACATGTGATGTTATATGTTGCCTTGCATACATGTGATTATACTTCTGCTTAGAGTGTAGATATATGTGTACTAATTAGAGATCGAACGGTTACTTGCAGTGTGAAAGCCACCATTGAGAGGTACAAAAAGGCCAACAGTGACACATCCAACTCTGGCACGGTTGCAGAAGTCAATGCCCAGGTAACATCATGTCATTCTTTCACTCTACAGCAATTGCTTGAATTGACACCCAAGATGTGATCTGTCAAATCAACATCACAAGTGTGTGGTCTTTTCAATGCATGTACTCACATTCCATGTTACTGTTCATCAAAGGCAAACATGATTTTGTGTGAGCAAAATCTTGTGACAAGATATCCTGGGCAGACTAGCTAGAGAGTTATGGGCATTGCACAACAGCGGTTATTGCAGTGAAGCAGCCTGAACTCCCAGAGCGTCCTCTGTTTGGTCCAACGGATCATTCATCGTATTGTCCATTGGATTGCCATAATTTGATGCCAGAAATGCACATGCAATGGATAGGTATTAAACAATACGAAGATAATTTGTTAAATAATAACAGAAAAAAGACATTCTGAAGTGCATGAAGCTCTATCAGTCTCTGTTTGCAGTTCTTAACTAGGATCAATTAATAACAAGGTTTCCTGAATCCACGCATGAAATATTGATAAACATAACTTTAGTTAAATGAAGAAGTAACCGAACTATCATCTGATTTCATGCATTTAGGTAGGACTGCTGATTAGCGCTCACTCCCTCTTTAGCTTAATTAGTCTACAATGGCGACTCTCTGCATATATAGGTGCTGACTGAAGGGACTAATTAGTTCTTGATTTGAAAAACTTGCCAATTTAATTTTAGACATGAAAATTCTGAGAATACACATTTCACATGATTATCTTTTGGCCGGGTAAGGTATATGTCAGCATAAAAATTTAAAATAGGAAATATGAAATGTGCAAATGAAGGATAGCTAGCCCCTGCATGCAACTGACCATTTTAATTCCAGTAACGATGCAAATTTGTTTTCAACTAGCTTCTTTATTTGCATATGGATATATCCTAGTTATTTCTATTAATAAAATAGCTGGTTACTGACGAATGCTCTCCCCTCATATTGCAAACTTGCAGTACTACCAGCAGGAGTCCTCCAAGCTGCGCCAGCAGATCAGTAGCTTGCAAAACTCAAACAGGTGAACATCTGCCAAATCGTATGTTTTGTATATACGTGACTTTGCCGAGAAGTTAAATATGTGTGTTCCCAGTCTAACTTTTCTCAAATATCCAGTAGGTCACTGGTGAGGGATTCTGTCAGCACCATGACCCTGAGGGATCTTAAGCAGCTAGAAGGGAGGCTGGAGAAAGGCATAGCCAAGATAAGAGCTAGAAAGGTATGATGTAGCTACAGTGTATGAATCTATGTTGAATGTGTTTAACTTCATCATCATACTTTATCAAAAACTTTAAAGAAATGATATTTATTTACGAATCTATTTATTACTACTTTAGATATTGGACTACGTACTGCTCATATATTTCTTCCTTGGATTAGTTGCTCATCTGACGAACAATGCCTTGATGCAGAATGAGCTGATGTATGCTGAAGTTGAGTATATGCAGAAGAGGGTAAATACAACATATGCATTCCTCTACTGACAGTATTTCTCTTTATGTTTTCAACAATAAATTACATCCAGCAACATTTTCTGTAATTGTAGGAAATGGAGCTACATAACGATAACATTTACCTGAGGAGCAAGGTAAATCAGAAATAGCTAGCTTGTTCATCTACATGTAATATTTCTGAGGTGTGAATCTGTGATTTGATGCAGGTGTCTGAGAATGAGAGGGGTCAGCAGCCGATGAACATGATGGCGTCGGGATCGACGAGCAGCGAATACGATCACATGGTCCCGCCGTATGATTCCAGAAACTTCCTGCAGGCGAACATCCTGCAGCAGCAGCAGCAGCAGCAGCAGCATTACTCCCAACAGCTGCAGCCAACTGCCCTTCAGCTCGGGTAATTAAGCAGGGCTTCCCATTATTTCTCTATATGCACCCTTTTCCGTACTCAATTACCCATAGTGTTAATTCGCACTTACCCCGCAAAAAAAAATTCACACTTGCTGTGTTTTCTTCCTTTGCAGCCAGCAGTACTTCAACTAGTTTTGCTCCACACGCTGCATGCAGTTCACACACGCTAGGTAAACATCGATACCAAAGCACTCCATTATTCATTTATTCTTCTCTTGCACATGGGGGTATATAAATGCATCTATATATTTTGGTTACATGCTGAAAAGTTGTTAATTAATACGTAATTACTTAACAGTAATCTGCGGATCCGTGTTTCTACCTCTTGCAGATAATACTGTCGCCGTGCTGTGTGCCTGCAATGTCGTTGCTCGTTCTACGGTGGTAAAACAGTAGTAACCGGAATTTGTGGATCAGGTGCATGTGGTACTTGTAATGTACCGTATATCTGTATTTGCTCATGAGCAACTAGGTGCTGCTAGTCGATCTCCACACAAAATGGTAGACTTCGGCGTGTACCATTGTGTTGCCTATCTTCCCCATGTATTAATTAATTACCAGCAATTTGATTTGTGTACCAAAATTGAATGGACCAAGGAGTGACGAAGGGCTAACTAAAAATCCGTGCACACGTAGAAGTGCTTTTGATGTCGCACGCGTACTAGTAGCTTAGTGTAGCCCCTTAATTATCCTATAAAATTGAGAACTCCTTTTATCTCCTCCTTTTATTTCAAGGGCAAAAATCAAATGCATCAAATTTCAAAGGAACTCCGAATAAAATGTTTATCCACATATTTGAAAAGTCATTTTATTCTCACTCATTAGAATTAAATATGCATGGAAATATTTCAAAATATTTCTAGAGAAAGATAATCCTTTTGATTTCAAATAAATTCTTCCCAACCAAGAATTACATTTAATGGATATTTATATGCTGATCCAACTCCATGAACATGGTTTGGAAATCTTTTAAATAAGTACTAAAAACTTTTAAATCCTCATGAAACTTAAATTAAAGTCAAACCAATTCAAATAATAACATTTATTTATTTGATTTATTGAAATTCTAAAATTTTATTTTTCCATGATTATTCGACTTACTCTGACGGTCATCTACTTGAGGGAAATTGCTGCTTGCTACAAACATCCACACTTGGGGGCATACCATCCTAGATAAGAGGAAACTAGCCTTTTTCTGACGTCGTTGTCGGGGAGTCTTTGAATACTACCATAGGTCCTACACTCCTTTATTTCACTTCCTTGTTATCTCCCTTGCTTAGTTACTTTTCATTATGATGATACCGAAAACTGTCAGTATCCTCGGTAGGGTGCAGAGCGTGACCGGGTTCGGTCCCTTGTGGTCGAGATAATAGTAGTAATACCCTACTCCCGCTTTATTTTGATTAATAGTGGAAATGCCTCATGTGTGGGGTTACGAGTATGAGGTAGTGATTGCTACCGAGGTAATGTCTATCTAAAGATGGATCCCAAACTACCCCTAGCCTCGCCTTATAAAGTGGGGAGAGATCTAGGGATTACAGTCTGAGCTACCCTATCTGGGAAGGTCCATGAGCGCACGCCATCTGGTTACAAAGTACCGAGAGATTTCAATGTGTCTATTTACGAGCCTAGCCCCTCGGGTTATATATCATACCATGGGGTCCTAGGGTACAAGGATCTTAGTTGGGTACGTATGAGGAGGTACATTCCTCTACGAATCCAGCTTCTTGTATTATACGACAACTCTTTTGGAATTCCTATTATCCATGACGGGCTGCCTAGGTTGGAACCAACAAGGGGTCCTCAGCCAACCCACTAGACCGGGATTCGACATGATAAGAGGCTCCTAGCCTGGACACCATCAGTAGTCCCGACCCTGAACTAGTCTTCAAGCTGGCTGCACCTTGGCTCAATGAAAACGCTCCTCGATTAGTGTCTTCTTGTAGCAGAGCTACACCTGAGGTAGGATAGACCACATTGGTCTTGAAACTGTTGAAGGATCATGGAAGAGCTACATGCCGAAAATGTTTCCCATGCAACGAGTCACTTTGGCAGGACGAATTTTCCCACGCTCCACCATGAAGGGTATTCGGTCTAGTTTTGACAAGCCAGACCAGTCTTATCCATGGCCCCATCTGGCCACATCGCATCCTTGACCTGACGGTCAATCTGATGTGTGGGCTTGGGTCAGGGCACCAAGGTCACATCCCATTGAGAGGGGTCATGCGCCTCGATCCCTGCATGGTGATTAATTACAACCCCTCATTTTTAGCGTAATTTATGCTTAAATGTGGGAATGGGAAGGGATTTGTTGTCGTGTGGTGGTACTAGCCCGCCGCTGCTTCACATTTCCCCCACGCTATAAAAGGGGAAACGCGACATGGGGTGGGAAGCTTTACGCCCTCAACCCCCTGCCATCATATTCTTCCTTGCGCTCCAGCTTCTAGTGCTCAAGCGCACCACCGTTCTCTGCCACCAAACATCGTTCTTTGTGCACCAAAGCCAGCACTAGACCCATGGCCAGAGAGGAGAAGTTGTGGAAGGGAGCAAGGTGGTGAATTTCTCAGCAGTGAAATCGGTGGCGCCGATTCATTTCAATCGGTGACTCCGAGATAGCAGAGCCACAGAAGGTGCACATAGGTGAGATCAAGTTAGTATGCTTCGAGAGAACCGATGAACTATGTCCAAGTAGAACTTGTGTTTCGGTCTTCCCGATAGGCTTGGATCGATGGGATTGAGTTCATCGCAGAAGAAAGATTTTGTCGACTAAGCTCACTTGCAAATGAAATTTCACAAATATTTTCAAGGAATTTTCATAAAGATTTGCGATGAATCAAGCTTTTAGATACAGAGATAAAGATAACAGAAAACTGAAGGAGATCTAGATAAAGTAAAATAAAATACAACACTCTAGCAAAAGAAATGCAAAGAAAATGCAACTAAGAAAGGAAAACACTAGAGAACTTCATCTAGAGAGGGTCAGTGACAAAGTCACCTATGTTAGAGTATATTGAATTAGGAGTCAAGAGTGGTCACTTGATCATAGGTCATACTCAACGTTAAGCTTGAAATGGGGTTGCCATTTTTCATTTAATCATCTTGATGTATTCTCATCTTGTTGAGTTGCTTTAACTCATGTCTTGGAGCAAAGCTTTTCTAAGATGGAATGACATACCTTGGGTTGTGGTGTTGATTTTTATCATGTAGTTGAACTTATGTTGGATGCTCAAAGTTGATGTAATCCATCAATAGTTGGGGCCATCCTTTGGAATTTGAAGCTCATCTTCATACATGGGTTAGTCTTGCAAGAAATAGCACTTGTGTATCCAAATTGACAATCGTGAAATTTATCATATTAAAATTGTTAAAGGATATGTTGAATTTGTTCATGCTTCCTTGATTTCAACAACCAAAGCATAGATACTTGGTGATGTAGAAATTTCTCAAGATATGAGTGACTTGCAATCTCATAGATTTAGGCTCATCCAAGTACCTACAAGGGTTAGATAACATACAAGGGTGCAAATATATCCAAGATAAAATTGATCATCATCATAATAGAAATATCAAGGATTAGTCACAAAGGCTCATGCCTTGCATGTATCCAAACGGAATCCCTATTCCAAGATTGAGGCATCAATGATGTTCAATTCACCTCTGAATCGACAAAATATCTCTTCACCAAGCGATTTAGTGAAGATATCCGCCAATTGTGGTGCGAACATGCTTAAGATTGATATCTCCTTTAGCAACATGATCCCGAATGAAATAGTGTCGAACTTCAATATGCTTAGTTCGTGAATGTTGCACGGGATTGTGAGCAATCTTAATAGCACTCTCATTGTCACAAAGCAATGGAACATGTTTCACATGTATCCCATAATCTTTAAGAATTTGGGTCATCCAAAGTAACTGAGCACAATATGATCCGGTGGCAATTTATTCCACTTTGGCAGTGGATAATGATACCAAGTTTTGTTTCTTGGAGGACCAAGAGACAAGGGATCTACCAAGAAATTGACATGTAACCGAAGTGGATTTTCTATCAACCCTGTCACCGGCATATAGTCCGAGTTGGAATAGACAACAAGATCAAAAGATGACCTCTTAGTTACCAAATGCCAAAATTTGGTGTATGAATCAAATATCCCACTATCCTTTTCACGACCTTAAGATGACATTCTTTAGGAGCATCTTGATATCATGCACACATGCACACACTTAGCATAATATCAGGACGGGAGGCACAAAGATATAATAATGAACCAATCATAGATCGGTAAGCCTTTTGGTCAATCTGGGTTGCCATCCTTTGTCAACTCAAGATGTCCACTAGTAGGCATGGGTGTTTTCGTACCTTTGCTTTCTTGCATGTTGAACTTCTTAAAAAGATCCTTGGTATACTTTGTTTTTGAGACAAAGGTACCTTCCTTTGTTTGCCTGATTTGCAAACCAAGGAAAATTTTGAGTTCACTCATCATAGACATCTCGAACTTCTCCGACATTAGCCTTGCAAACTTTTCACTACAATGAGGGTTAGTAGAACCAAATATGATATCGTCCACATAAATTTGGCACACAAATAATTCTCCATTAACCATTTTAGTAAAAAGAGTAGAATCAATTTTCCCAATTTCAAAGCCTTTTTCAATAAGAAACTTAGTCAATCATTTATACCAAGCTCTAGGAGCTTGTTTAAGACCATAAAGAGCTTTGTGAAGTTTGTAAAAATGATTAGGTTTCTTGCGATTGACAAAACCGGGAGGTTGTTTAACATAAACTTCCTCTTCAATTTCTACATTTATAAAAGCACCTTTAATGTCCATTTGGTATAAGGTGATATCATCGTGATTGTCATAAGCAAGTAAAATGTGAATGGACTCAAGTCTAGCAACGGGGGCGTAAGTCTCACCATAGTCCATGCATCCGACTTGAGTGTAGACTTGTGCAACGAGACGGGCCTTACTGTGTACAACTTTTCCATCCTCATATTGCTTGTTCTGAAACACCCACTTGGTTCCAATGATGTTTTGAACATCGTTGGGCCTCTCAACCAATGTCCATACTTGATTCCTCTCAAAGTCGTTGTGTAGCTCTTCGTTCATATCATTTATCCAATCCGGATCCTCAAG